TTTAGTAGCTAGTTTATATTTCGGTGGTTGCTTTAGTATGATACACATATCTTTGATCTTTATATGGAATAAAAAAAGTTAGAATGGATGCCGACACGACAGAAAAAAATTCTATTAAAACTTGCGACATTTCTTTTAGTCATCAATGCATTAGTTTTATATATAATGCAACTACGACAACTCTATTTTTACAATACAAGTCTAGGAATTTACAAGCCAGGGGGATGATAACTACTTGACTTAGAGGTCACATATAACATACAAAATCATATTGTGACTGCGGTCATTGACTTACATTGTTGTACTTAAAAAATGTTGAATAGGTAAATTTCTGCCCCTCACCCCCCCCCCCCCCACCCAACTCCCATAACTAGTCTCAAGCACATTATGACGTCATATACCCACCGTTTTTACCTGTAAAATCGTATTGTGTCTCAGCTGTCTCGACACCATTCTGACGTCATCATAACCAAATCGCGTGAAATTTTAAATATCATCTTTGAAGTTAATTTTAAAAAAGAATTTAAAATTTTTTTTATCGGAGAAAGGTTGTTTAAAAGATATGCTATCTCATTTTTTTATTGTTTTAATACACCAGTTCTTACTTTTAAAACACCAATTTTACCACCATAAGTCATCAGTTAATCTAATCTTAAAACATGGATGTGAACAAAAAGAGTATTTGCTTACAACATTAAGTACAACTCACCTAAGAAGAACGCATGCAATAAAACATCAGGGAGCGGGTTTAAAAAAACATTCCAGTCAAATGTGGCGCGACTAGTTTGTGGAAATATTAACTTTAACTGGGACTAAAAGCCCATTAAATTCCTTCCCTGAACCTGTCTTTGAGTGATTGAATTTCCCCCCCACCAGACTTCCATTAAAAGCGTCATCTGAAAACTGTCCACCATTCGATGATTTAGGCTCCTGCGATTCTCCCAGAGTCCAAACCGTTTTAGAAATTGTTTATCTTTACCCTGAGCTTTTGAATTGTCAGCTATTTCCAGAGTCACTGTCAACCCTCTCTATACACATGTCAACCCTATCTATTCACATGTCAACCCTCTCTATACAAATGTCAACCCTCTACAACTACCAACCATCTATATACAAACTGTCAACCCTATGTACACCTCCTATTTAACCTAGACAACACTGTCGTCAAGCAAGGAATCCTCCTGTTTAGCATATAGATGTACACATCTGAAGGAGATCGATCGTAGAGTGGTTAAAACACAATAATTGCGATTTGTTTCATTGGGTTGATGCAATACTGCATGTTTTTGTTTATCTAGGTTTGGGGCAGTACTTCTAGGTTAAGGCTATCCAAATGTAGTTCAGGTATAATGTTTTTTGTACGATGTAAACTCATGCAATGTAGATTTTTAACATGTCATTTTCTACATATCAGCCATAAACAACGAATTTCAAAAACAGTTTTTTTCAGTTACTGTCGTATTCTTATTTTGAATTGTTGTATGTTATATTACATAGAACAAATACATTTGTTATTTTTATGTAAGTTCCCTCTATTTCCTTTGTGAGTTCTACTTGATTCTTATGAATTTGTTTTTAATTCACTCCGATCTTATTTATTTTTATTTGTTTGCGTCAACATTTCAGTTCTTTTTTTGTGTTCCTTTTCAACTCAGAGTTCCCTTTTAACATATATCCTGTAAAGTCTCATTTGAAGCTTATTCCAGTTCCCTCTTAATTCCCTCTAAATTCCCTCTTGATTCCCTCTAAATTCCCACTAGATTCCCCCTTCATTTCCTCAAAATTCCCTCTAAATTCCCTCTTAATTCCCTCAAAATTCCCACTTAATTCCCTCTTTATTCCCTCAAAATTCCCACTTAATTCCCTCTTAATTCACTCTAGATTCCCTCTTCATTTCCTCAAAGTTCCCTCTAGATTCCCTCTTAATTCCCTCAATTCCCCAAAGTTCCCTTCAAGTTTCCACATGTTCTAAAAACTTCACACCATGATCAGATAATCTGACCACGCCGGCGGCAACCTGCGCATCTCTAAGACTTCCCTCCACAAAGGACTTGTTTCTATCGGCATAATTGTTATGCCGCGCAGTGCCCTCTGGTCACAGCCGCCATTATGCCCGGGTTAAAGGGCACTATGCCACCGATGGTAATAAGAGGACAATAAAGGACAAGAGGCATAAAATGGGCATAACAGTGCCCGTCAACGGGGAGAAACTTACAGCGATAAAAAAACGTGTACAAGAGAGAGGCGAAGGAAAACGTGAAGATTATTGTCAATTATTCTTTAGATTAGAGCTATTTTCATTGTATTCAGCGAAATTAATGGTTTTTTGCCAAATAAGCTTATATATATATATATATATATATATATATATATATATATATATATATATATATATATATATATATATATATATATATAATCGGTGTATTTTTAGGACTTTTATATAAATGTTGTTTGTAGTGAGTTTATTAGATTATTGTGTGGATGGTGATGGTAGCCCACTATTTTCATCAGATAAACTAAACGATGAGCACCGACAAAAACTATACCATCATTGACCTTGGACAAAAACTATACAGAAACGGATTTAGGACAAAATCCATAGAGCGACAAAACTAGTCCTCGACGGTTTATCATCTTTTTGAAACATTTCTGTGATTTTTTTTTCTTCTGTCAAAATGCCCGCCCCCCCCCCCCCCCCGCCCCCCCCCTTTGACCTTAGGGTGAAACCCGACACCCATGCACATAAAAGCTGACCAAACAAATAAAACCCTCAACAAAACAAAGAACTGACACCCCTCACATAAAAGCTGACCAAACAAATAAAACCCTCAACAAAACAAAAAGAACCGACTACCAAGTAGCCACGAAATAAGCGTATCTGATTCGGTGCCGTTTTTAATTTGTGAATCTTTGAGGTCTTAGTTTTTTTCTCTCTTCATAGCGCTAGCCACGGGGGCGCCACGGTGGTCTGAAATCTTGGCAGTCCCGGGGGTAGGCTGTCTGCTTAGGGACCCTGGGGTAGGTAGAGACAGTACGGTCTGATATAGCTGAGACAGTAGGCTGTCTGATATAGGCGAGACATTGAGCTGTCTGATATAGGCGAGACATTGAGCTGTCTGATATAGGCGAGACAGTAGGCTGTCTGATATAGGCGAGACATTGAGCTGTCTGATATAGGCGAGACATTGAGCTGTCTGATATAGGCGAGACATTACGCTGTCTTATATCGGCGAGACAGTAGGCTGTCTGATATAGATGAGACATTGAGCTGTCTGTAGAGGTGATACAGTTCTAGTGAGCCCATATCCGACTCAGTTGAGAGAGTACCTGGCAATACTATGGCTACAAAACTGCCACCCCCACACACCTTAAACTTTCCATATCTCAGGTAAACACTGCTTCACCTACACCAAGTAACTTTTCTGGACAAGTGTATATCGGTGTTAAAAGCCTCAAGAAATTGACTATATTCTACGAAACGTAAAACAACAACACCGTGTTAATGTCTCTGTAATGTCCTAGCTTGCCGTGAAATTATTGTCCTGGAGCTGTCCTAAAGCAGGTTGTCTGACGACGGCCTGATGCCGGAGCATGAGGCGGTGATAATGACCGTATCATTACACGCCAGGGGCAGCGGGCAGATGCTGTATTTGTAGGCCAGTGGCAGCGGGCAGATGCTGTATTTGATTTGTAGGCCAGGGGCAGCGGGCAGATGCTGTATTTGTAGGCCAGGGGCAGCGGGCAGATGCTGTATTTGTAGGCCAGGGGCAGCGGGCAGATGCTGTATTTGTAGGCCAGGGGCAGCGGGCAGATGCTGTATTTGTAGGCCAGGGGCAGCGGGCAGATGCTGTATTTGTAGGCCAGGGGCAGCGGGCAGATGCTGTATTTGTAGGCCAGGGGCAGCGGGCAGATGCTGTATTTGTAGGCCAGGGGCAGCGGGCAGATGCTGTATTTGTAGGCCAGGGGCAGCGGGCAGATGCTGTATTTGTAGATATTAGAGGGAGATAAATAAAAGCATGCCCGAGTTTTCCCATTTCACACACCGCCCAATCTAGACGAGGTTCGATGGAGATGTAGGGGAGACAATCACGCGGAGAAAAAGTAAGGGAAATAACTAGCGCAAGAATTTTTTTTTTTAAATTCACAGAAATCCATAATTTCTTTTTTTTTTTAATTTTTTTTTTTTTCAAATTTTTCACTGTTGACTTTTTAAATGAGATGACTTATTTAAAGTAGGATCTGGAAAAAAAAAAGTTAATTAAAATGACAAAGTCACACAGAAATAAAGCCTCAAATGATGGGAGAAAGTTTTCATCAGAGGTTGAGAGAAAAGAATAGTTGAATCACTTCAAGAGAAAAATGTTGATGTATTGCGTTGGCCTGAAGTTATGGTACAGCTTCGTTTAACCAATGCTGAGGTAACTCGGGATACAGTTGAAGATTTAAAATATAACAATAAGCCAACTAGTTTAGTCAATATAAGATATAAAAATCAAACTTCGTAGTTTGATAGATTCAAGTATATAACCTGTAAAAAGAAAACGGCCAATAAAAAAGGAAGCCAAAATGATTCTCACGAATGGCCGTAAATTGTCAGAAGAATAGAAATGGACAATTGAGGACGGGTGTGGCGCTACGTCTAGGGTTGTAAATTTGTTGATTTTCCATCTTCGTTTCGACAAGCAAGTAAAACATCGGGGGAAAACGGTTTCAGCTTTTTTAAAAAAGAATTTTTGTTGGGTGTGGGGGGGGGGGGGGGGGGGGGGAGGGGGGTTGAGGAGGAAGAGAATTGATTAAAGAAGGCGGGGGAGGGGATACTTGACTTGTTTGTTGAATGCCAATCCAACAAAAGCAGACGATGCTACAATTTATTGACATGTGCTCTTTATATTTAGAACGTAAGGATCTTTTCTAAAGTTGCGGCCTACCCGTCATACAAAGTAAAAAGGGAGAATACTGTTGCTATTTATAGTAGAGGGAAGTAACTCGTGACTTACGGTTTGCAGACGTTTCTCTGTGCGTACAGCGTGCAGGACGAGGATGTTCCCCACCGTGGTGAGCAGACACAGGCAGGCCAGTACGATCCCCAGGGGTATGCCCCGCCACAGGTCGTCCCACACGGAGGGCTGCCCGTCCTGCAGGGCAGGGCCGTAGACCCCCACCTCGGTCAAGTTGCTCGTGTTCAGACCCGTCAGCATCCAGGTGTTAAAATCCAGGTCAAGGTCGCCAAAGAAACCGTGCGCCGTCGACCAGGTGACGTCGTGGAGGGTGGGGTCAGATCCGGGCGAGGTGGCTTCCATCGTGTCTGGCATTGGTGCTAGCCATCCACTGCTCATGGGCCGAGTGGCATGGCGGCCATCTTGTGAGGGTCCCCTACACACCCCGGGCAAACATCAACTCAGGGTGAGATCAGGCATGGTCCGCCCCCGCCCCTAGTTAGGCTAACGTCAACACTTGCCTTGTGGATTTATTCCCCAACATACTGTCATTACTTTAGTCTGAAAATAAGAATGATATGAAATATATTTCATTAACTTTCACCTTGAAACTGGTGAATCTGTCATCTAAACAAATGAAGGCACACACACGATTCATTTCTAATTTTATAACCGTCGAACATGAGCAACTTCTCAAGCTGAAGATAAACGTGTCAATTGTGTTTCTATGTGTAACAACACATGCTATATAAGGTTATAACATTAATTGTGTCTCCTTTAGTGTCTAGAGGTACACAAATTCCCCACCCTCTTCTCTGAACACCACCCCCACCTCTTCCATTATACCTTAACTACTAACCCATTTTTTGGTCTTCTAACCGAAACCTTACATGCCACAGTCTACGCCCCAGTCACGCCCCCACCCCGACTGAGACTGTGCCCCAAACGAAACCCCATATGCCCCAGTCTATGCCCCAACCAACCCCCTCCCCACACAACCAAGTCTACTCTACTCCCCCCCCCCCCCCCCAACCGAAACCTCACATGTCCTCCAGTGTTTAACTTATTTCCGTGTTGCATGTGGCTCGATGTTGACTGAAACCCTGGCTACGCCGCTACAACATGCAGCCCTGCAACACCGCCCCACACCGATTCGAAAGGGGGGGGGGGAAGGACTGGTGATAGTAGACACAACTTAAAACTATCGACTCTGTGTGTGTGAGTGAGAGTGTGGGGGGGGGGGGGGGGAATCTTAGCCGCCGAGTGGAGTAAATCAACGAATTCCTAAAGTTACCCCGACAAAAGGAAATTGTATTAGGCTATAAATCCTAAATTTGGTGTCGGGTCGCTGTGACCCCCTGGTTTTAGCTATGGCTTCTGTATGGCTAGACCGACACGGAATCACAACGATTTGCTGTTTGCACGACTTAAACTACTTCTACAGATGCTATTTCCACAACTTAAAGAATGCTGCTATAGCATGAACAACTGGAAATATTGCTCTTGTTAACGCTATTTTCAGAAATTGAACTTAACTTACGTGTTAGGCTATTCACTACACGGAACACAAACTTTGGATGTCACAATGTTCATGCAACTGACGCTATACTTCGACCCTAGTTTCACTCGGTATCGTAATACACAGACAGATAACAGATAGCCTCATAACATACAGATAACATACAAACTCACAACACACAGAAAATAACATACAGCCTCACAACACACTGACACATAACAGATAGCCTCACAACATACAGACATATAACATACATTTGATTGGTGTTAAACACCATGTATGTGCACAACTGACCCCCCCCCCCCCACCCCTCTATTGTTAGACAACTACCCGTGGGCGTGGCTGTAGAACAAAAAACAAATTGGCTTTGTTAACCTTACCTTGAGCTCAATAGGATGTAGCTATTTCCGGTCAATCTGGGAGTAAAATAATTTCCTGTATCCCAATTTGAAAAACTACATCTTTTAATGACGTTATTATATTGTCCATAAGGTTCTACCACCCCTCCCCCGCTCTGCCGCCGTGATTTTCCTCCATACATGAGAATATTTCATGACCTTAATATTTGCATGTCGTGATGCTGGTCCATAAACACGAAGTAGCGGTAAATTTGTTTTACTGTGTTCATAAACTCGAAGTAGTGGTAAAATATTTTTACTGTGTTCATAAACACGAAGTAATGGTAAAATATTTTTACTGTGTTCATAAACACGAAGCAGCGGTAAAATATTTTTACTGTGTTCATAAACACGAAATAGCGGTAAAATATTTTTACTGTGTTCAGAAACTTTTTGAAAGGCAGGTTTACATGGACGTCCGCTTGCAGCTGGGAGGGATATGTTGGACGGTCGTTGTGGTGGACGGTCGATGTGGTTGACGGTCGGAGGATGGTCGATGGACGGTCGTGAAGATCGGCTGTTGTGTTGGACGGGCAGACCTTGGTCGGCGTGTGGTCGGACGATGGTCGGTCGACGGTCGCTTAGATCGGCTGTTGTGTTCGACGTTTAAGAATGAGTACCATACAATCTCTTATAGGAATCAGGCCGACAAGAGAGAGTTCTACTTATGATTGGGCTAAGAGCTCACACTCCCTAATAAAAACACAAGCAATTAGTTTCGCGTTTTATTAATTAAACAACGATTCCAACGTATTTAGCATAAAAAGTGTCGATGACATTAAACCTACACCCATTAGATTTAGCGTGTCCCATCTACCTGTGTCTAGTTATATCTCAGAAATTTTTAACTCACAAACTTTAGCTCCCGTTCTTTATGTAGAAAGTAAAATCACACAAATCTCATATTTAATTCACAAATCTTATTCACATATTTAAAAAAAAAACTTGAACAAAATCTCGTGTTTTGTGTACAAATCCAAGCCACGTCTTTTATTAACGAATCGAAATTCACTTCTTTCATTAAACATTACATCTTATCTTTAATTTACTAGCTTCATCGATAAAGTCCTTATCATACTCATTGGTAATGGGTTATCGTGGAAATACACCACGCTCCTATGAAAAGGGGAATTTCGTGTCCAGAAAATGTGACGACTTAGGCATTTAAAAATAAATTGTTTGATGCTGAATTTTAGGCGTTTCTACGAAAAATTCTCAGTTAGTAAAAAATGTTTATCCGTTTAGTAAATGTTGAGCGAGCTCATTAATTGTTTTATTAAGGAATCGCTGTTTGAAAAAACAAACAATTTGTTTATAATGGGGGTTGGGTGGGGGAGGCGGTACATGACGTCATCTCAGTGACAGGGTCTGAGTTTCTGTGACAATGTGTGGTAATCGGGAAAGGGAAATTCCGTTTTAAAAAAAGTGTTTTGGTCTTTAATTGCAAACCACCAATTTGAAATATAATTTTTTTTTGTACTTTTGATTTTAAATTTGACTTTATTCTTAACATTGAAAATAAAGATTGAACAAAATGCAAGAATGAGAAGTTCGCACCAAATACAAAACATGCATCCTAGAAAACATAAACGAAAAAGAAAAACAACAAGCAACTACAACTTTGGCAATCCTTTCTTAATTTTGCTTTTAGTCTTGTCACGAATGATATCAGCCCACTCATTGCGTCGGGGTGAGGTATTTTTTCTTTCGCTGCCGGCGGGGGAGGTGGTGGGCGGGCATGCGGTGACACGTGACCACACCGTTACCCTACCTGTTATTTCACCCGAGGGTAACAATTCTTGAGGGACCGAGGGCTGTCCCTCACACGGCTGGATGGTGGTCATAGACGCAGGTCAATTACCTGCGTGGGTCACGATATCATCTATTGGATGCGTTTACTAATATTTAGAAAGAGACATACGCTTTTATATATATTTATTTAAATAGTAGTCTATTATTATATTTTTGAAGAAAATCATTTATTTTTCATTTACATAAAAGCTTTTTATTAAAACGCTTTTATGCATTTTTTTTCAGTACTTGATGTTTTTTAATACATTAGAGTTGCATGCCTAAAAACAATTGCACATAAATTAGCATGAAAATGCGCGTATACTATTGCGGAATAATAGTAGTTCCCCTTACTTTATTTAGAAAATTTTAATGAATTCATAACAATTAATCAGGCACTTAATTAAGTCAAATTTGATGTCAGATTGCATTGTTATCTGCTCTTGACGCACGTGTCAAGTTTGAAACGAATCGGTCAGTTAGAAGTGCTCGAAATTTCACTCGGTAGTTTCGATCTATGATGGACGAGGCACGACAGACAGAGGAAGCAAGTTAAATAAAAGCTTGTAATAAAATCGCTACATTCGAAATGGGCCGAAATGAATAAGAAGATTTTCCAGAAACAGACATCACAACAGACGGACACTGTGAGCTAAATAAAATCTCATAAAAGAGCCACCAGTTTTCATTTGGATAGCTGCATGCGGTCCCGTCTTATGTGTCAACATTATTAGATCATCTCTCGGTCCGGGCTATTTTTAACTCCACCGTATGACGTCATTTTCAATATCGAGGTGAGACGTGTTTACTAAACCGTTTGTTTTGAGGGTATCAAGATTCTATAGGTAGGCGTATTTCGGAAACTCCATGTAAAACACGGGTGAACTAAACTACTTCATTGAGAGTTGTCAGTGTCAACATGCAGATACAGAGGGGGGTGGGGGGTGAAGTTGTCTTCTTTCTTCTTCTCCGTTCTTAATGTTTGATGTTTTAAGGGATTAAGTAATAAGTGTCGATTTGTTATGCGCCAAAAAAGGGCCATTGACTAGGATTGCAGCCTGCTTTTCTTTATGGATTTGCTTCAAACTAAGAACAAACTAATATTTTGGAGTTGTCACTATAAAAAGCGTTACAGTCCCCAGCTATCGAGCCTTATATACCCGGGGATTTGAACTCGTGACTTTTCGGTTTAGCAATCATGAGCTTTACCGACTCGACCACAAAAGTTCAGAAAATAACTCTTAGCGATATGAGACTGTTTAGCTGGAGACAGCAACCTATCTAGGAGAGAAGAATTCGAAATCAAACATTGTGTTTGGATCGCCAATGAGAATTATCGAATGTTCTATCAGACTATGGAACCATTATATCACAATTGATAAAAAGGCCTCATTACTATTTATTCATAAGCTACTGATAAATATAAGACTTGTGTAACAACGATAAAATCAAAGCACGCCCGCTTTACTTTTAAAAAGACTGTGTAAAATTAGTTTTTAAATAGTTGCTTTGAAAAAAAAAATTCCGTCTTGGCTTCACTAGGCTGAGCCCCGTCTTGTTTATTACCGGCTTGTTATTTGCATAAATTACTGGAAGCTTCCAGAAGTACATTCGTCTTCATCCACCCCCCACCCTCCTCCCCTCCCCCCCCCCCCCCGTTTATCCGCTGTCAACATCTTGGAGTTGTTCATTGGCTAAGTGCTGGGGACACTAGCATGCGGTAACTCTTTCAAAAAACGGCGTGAATCGTCTCCCTTGGCAGCTTAATCTTATCACACTTTATTTAATAATCCCGGTGGATTATGGGATTGAAAATATTGGCCAACAAACTGAGTTGATAATTTTGAACAAGG